AGCCTGATGGCGACTCTTGTACACAGTCTTAATGTTTGATTTTGGGAAGGTACAACCTCTACCTCTATCCCTCAACATATGGGTGACCTATTTGCTTGTAATAATATAAAGCCTTTTCATTAATTAATAAAAAAGGGGATATGTAAGGGGCCGTTTCCTGCATTATAATGGTGCCTGAAGACACCAAGATGTAAATTACTTCACAGGCGCTGGGTAATCTCCATTCCTTTGATCTCTGCCTATCCCGTGGCTCATTTTGGCCTGAGGAGCTGAAGCCATTCATAGGGTAACACGTCCCAGGCGGCTGGTCAGCCTTTATAAGGGATGGTTTTCTTGGTTTAGTGTCTCCGCTCAGTCTCCGCTCTGGAAAGCTTATGCTCTCCCCTCTCAAGATGCATTAAAGCTTGTCTGCAGAAGGATCCGAGTGTCCCGTGTATGATTTCTTGCTGGCGAGAAATACAGAGCACGCGCGGGACACTCGTGCACTCTATGGAGTGTAAGGAGTATGGGGAAGGTCAGAAGACAATCTTCTGGAGTGGGCTCTTTTCACCTTTTTGTGGATTCTGAGGATCGAACCAGGCTTGCATAGGAAACTCCTTTATCCCCTGAGCAATCTCACTGCCCTGTTGTTTTGAGACAGGGTCTCATGCAGTTCAGGCAGGCTGGCCTCAGTCTCACTCTGTACCCAAAGTGGGCCTTGAAATCCTGGTCTTCCCACTTTTCTGGGATCACAGGCCAGCACCACTGTTGCCCACTTGCTTTCCCCTTTTTTTTTTCTTTTTTGTTCTCATTTTTTTTTTTTTTGATACGATATCTTGCTGTGGAGCCCATTCTTGCTGGAGCCTCATATCTTCCTGCCTCAGACCTCAGAGTGTTAGGATTACTACACACTATTTATTACATATTAGTGTGTAGTATTACACATAATTACATATAGGATTACTATATACACTATATATTACTATATACTGTTTACTATGCCACTATACCTAGCTACAAGGGCCTGTATTGCTTCAGCCAGGACAAACTTTAATTCCTTAACTTTCTCTGGTTAGAGAAACAGTTTTCATAGATTGAAAATGGCACCCCCAAACAGGAGCTGTATCCACTCAGGGAACCCACCCTACTGTATCTACCCATGGATGTTGCTTCTGAGAGAAGTAACCCCTGGCTACTTCCAGCCAGTCTACAATTAGAAAAGCATGAAAGAGATCAGTACAGTTCTTGCCTCATTCATATTCACCCCTGCCACAACAAAGAGAAGACTGTACTACTGTGGGGTGGTGAGCTCAGAGCCGTGGCCCATGACCCACAGAAGGAATGGTAGAATTGTAAACTGTTCCCTGTCAGAATCTCAATCTGCACCCTTATCAGATTGCTCTGGGGCAAATTTGGCGTTGCACCTGTTTAAGTCGATGCCCTGTCAAAGAGCAAGTTTTTGTAACTAACCAACCGGTGGTGGCCTCCTCCTCCTCTACTTGGACTTGTGTGCCCTAGGTGGTAATGAAAACGGAGACCTTTTGTAGCAGCACTCTGCTGAGAGCCAGCATGCCTGGTCCTGCCCATTTTGCTCTGCTGAAAAGTGCAAACCCACAAAGCAACATCTAGGAGAACTGCCAGGAAGCATTTACAAGTGGGGAACAACAGCCTTGTTGTTTGGGAGCCCAAGTGACCGTTGCCAAGCATACTCCTCCATGCCTCTCCTCCAAAACCTGAGGGTTTTGCTGTTTTGTTTTCTGTTGGTTTTTGTTTGTTTGTTTTTCATGGGGAGTTGTATTGTGTTGTTTTGTTTGTTTTTTCTTTGGTTGTTTAAGACAGGGTTTCTCTGTGTGTAGTCCTTGCTGTCTTGGAATTTGCTCTGTAAACCAGGCTGGCCTCGAACTCACAGACATCCAACGGCCTGACTTCAGAGTGCTGGGATTAAAGGCTTATTTTTTTCATTTTTTGTTGTGTTTGTTTTGCTGTTTATGGTCCTCCTGCTTCAGCCTCTTTTGTTGATTTTTTGAGACAGTATCTTTGTGTAGCCTTGGCTGTCCTGGAACTCATTCTGCAGTCCAGGCTGGCCTCAAACTCAGAACCACCTGCCTCTGCCTCTGAGTTCTGGGTTTACCACCACTGCCCAGCTGGCTTAGCCTGTGGAGTGCTAAAGTTTTCAGGCACCATCCACCCTCAACTGATTTTGAAATTGGACACATTTGAAAGATTTGGCTAAGTTATAAATGTTTCATATAATTTACACTAGTCAGACATTGGGCAGTAGAGGCTAGGGCTAGGGTAAAGGGCTTCCCTAGCATGAGTGAAGCCTTACAGTCCTCAGCACTGAATAACTCAGTCATGATGGTGCATACCTGTGGCCCCAAAACTCAGGAAATGAGTGAGACCCTAACATTACAAATAAAATATCTGGGCAGTGGTGGTACACACCTTTAAGCCCAGCACTCTGGAAGCAGAGGCAGAGACACATTGATCTCTGTGAGTTCAAGGCCAGCCTGGTCTACAGAGCAAATTCCAGAACAGGCTTCAAAAGCTACAGAGGAACCAACCCTGTCTTGAAAAAAAAAAAAAAAAAAGAAAAAAAGAAAGAAAGAAAGAAAGAAAGAAAGAAAGGGAGGAAGGAAGGAAAGGAAATGGAAAGCCCTGGGTACTTACCTCAAATGTTCAAATCCTTAGGCTCCATCCCTAGCACCACTCAAACAAACACCATAAAACCAAAAAAAAAAAAAACCTATATGCCTTCCCTACTTAATGATCCAATAGTCGCTACCACATGTGTCTTCGGAACCCATGTCCTCCCAAAGGGACAAAATGTTAAGCAAGGAGCATAAACAATCTCATTTTTTAAATCATTTTCTGAACTTTCTCATTCTTGATAGTGCCTCAAATAAACATGAGTCTTCAAGTCCGTCTTCCCAAGTCACCTGTAGAAAAGAACTTTGTGAGTGCTCTCTCGTGCACCTGTGCTTGTTTGCGCATGCGTGTGTGCATGCATGCAGTTTGGGTGCACACATGCCACAGCACATGTGTAGAGGTTAGAAGACAACTTTCAAGAGAGTGAGTTCCTGCCTCTGGTGAGTTCCTGCCAGGCTTTTTTGCAGCAAACTCTTTTACCCAATGAGCCATTTCTTGAGCCCAAGAACTGTGCTATTATTAGGAAAATGTTCCTCTCCGTGATTTGTAAACCACATGAATTGGATGTAACTTTCAAAAATAAGTGTGTTTTTTATTTCCTTTGTTTTTTTATGTGGCAATGATCCCCTGCCTCTGCCTCCTGAGTGCTGGGATCACAGACAGGAGCTGCCACTTCTGGCCTGGTATCATTTTTTTTTTTTAAACATACTTTTATTTAAGCTTCCATTGTTCCTTTTTGGGGGGGGGAGAGGGGGTATTTCAAGACAGGGTTTCTTTGTAGCCTGGAACTCTCTCTGTAGACCAGCCTGGCCTGGAACTCACAGGGATCTAACTACCTCTACCTCCCAAGTGTTGGGATTAAAGGTGTGTGTTCCAGGATAGCCTGGGCTACACAGTAGGAAAAAAAAAAAGAAAAAGGAAAAAAGACAATTGAATAGGCCTGTTCGGATATACAAACATTCATTCTTTTTATTTTTTCCAAGACATGGTTTCTCTGTAGCTTTGGAACCCGTCCTAGAAATCTCTCTGTAGACCAGGCTGGCCTCAAACTCACAGAAAACCACCTGTCTCTGCGTTCTGAGTGCTGGGATTAAAGATGAATGCCACCACCACCACCTGGCTACAAACATTTTATTTATTCCAGAGAGAAACCCAATATTCACTAAGGCTACTGAATCCATGTTGCAACAGTAAAAGCTTAATTTACTATGCACCTCGGAAAGCTCCAGGTAAGATATAGGTAGGAACATACACAAAGAATTCAGAATATAAAACTCTCCAGGAAATTAGTAGTCTTATTAATATTGGAGTTACAGTAGAAAAAAAAAAAAAACAAACAAACAAAAAAAAAAAACTAGCTATCTCCTGGGCTCTCCCAGGAGCCTAACTGTGTAACTTCCAGAAATTGGAGTTGTTCTGAGTAAACAAGAAGTTGACATCATTCTTCCAGTTCTCCTAGCAGCTCAACAAAGTCAGTGATGTACCACTTGGCATTGCTCTTTACTTGTTGCCTGATCACATTTCCTCCAAATCCAATGAAAGCATCCTAAGAAGGAAAGCGGGGAGGGGATTAATGTCTTTTAAAATGGCACACCCAGAAACATATATAAACAAATATAAACTACATTTAAGTGAAAGATACCTACACACTTAATGTGCATATATGTGTGTGTGTGTGTGTGTGTGTGTGTGTGTGTGTGTGTATGCATGTATATTTGTCCAGTCTCACTCTTTCTGCCTCCAACTTGCTGATAAGATGTAAGCTCTTGGCTACTGCTCCTGCACCAGGCCTGCCTGCCTGCCACCATGCTCTCTAACATGATGATGATGGATTAACTCTCTGACACTGTAAGCAAGCCCTAATCAAAGGCTTTCTTTTATAAGTTGCCTTAGTCATGGTGCCTCTTCACAGCAATAGAACAGTAACTAAGACACTTATTCATTACATGCTCCTAGGCTGAATGTTTTTTAGTTGCTTTGTGTTCTGATCATGATATTTAGCTTTTCTTGTTTAACTTCTGTTGTTAACTTCATATGGTTTTCAGTCAGACACAGAAAACAAAATTAACGCCTGAAAAAAACCAAAAAACCAAAAACAGCATCCTTGAATACGTACAGCAGGAGGGCAGGCTTCCATGTCTGTAGCTCCATCTCCAATCATGATTATTTTCTTAAAGTGAAACTTTTCCTTTAAAATTCGAATAACTTTTCCTTTCCCACCTGACTCGGCTGTTGGCTGCATCTCATCAAAACCTGCATATTCACCTTAAGAGAACAGTGAGAAAATATTAGGTTGACAGAAACATTTGACTTGGGACAGCTTGTTTATACTGGTGATACACAAATTAAATATCAGTATCCAATCTAAAACATCCCTGGGTATGGGCACACAGCATGGGACCTGATCCATGTTCCTGAGGAGGTGGCTCAGGTGAGTCACCTTGAGTGGAATTAGCTGCATCTTTAAGTTTCGGTGTAGCAATTTTAAGCCTTATTGAGATATCTGAGCAACATAATATAGCAATACATTAATTTAACACATTAATATATTAGCATTACCTAAAGGAAATAACCAACTTTTTTTTTTTTTCTTAAAAAGAGGATCTCATGTAGAGCAGGCTATCCTTGAACTTACTGTGAATCTTAGAATGACCTTGAATACCTGATTCTCAGGCTTCCATCTCTGGAGCACTGTGATTACAGGTGTGTATGCGCCCTCATGCTGGGTGTGTGCAGAGCTGGGAATGCAACCCAGGGCTTCCTGCACGTTAGGCAAGTGCCCTCCCAACTGAATCCCATCCCCAGCTCTGAATTTATTTCTATTATTACAAAGACCAACACACTCATTAGTGGCCATGGAACTGATTTGGTGTGTTTGAGGCTGGGTGTCACTTTGTAGCTCAGTCTTGTATAGAACTTGAAACAACACTCCTGCCTCAGCCTCCCAAGTGCTAAGAGTGAGTCCCCAGGCCTGGTTGACTCATTTGTCTTTTGTTTCATTTGTTGGCTTAGTTTGTTTTGTTTTTATTTTTAAAGATGGAGCCTAAGTAGCCAAAAATCACCTCTAATTCCTAATCCCCTGCCTCAGGTTTCCAAATGCTGGGATTATATAAGGCATTCCCTGATAGGGGAGTTCCTGCAGAATTCTGCAGCTAGTTTGATTCTGGAGTGTTAGCACCTGACTTTGATCTGCCTTTAGTGTCCCATACCTTCTGTCTGAGTATGTAAATCTTTTTCGTTTTTTTCAAGACAGGGTTTCTCTGTGTAGCTTTGGAGTCTGTCCTGGAACTATCTCTGTAGACCATGTTGGTCTCGAACTCACAAAGATCTGCCTGTCTCTGTCTCCTGAGTGCTGGTATTAAAGGCCTGTGCCACCACCATCCAGATGAAGTATGTAAATCTTATAGGAGGGTTTCCTAACTGTTCAAAGCCTATGCAAAGCTTGGTTACAGGAGGACTTAGCAAACTGAGATGTCCTGTGGCTAGGAACTGCTTTGGCATTTGTCCCTTCAGAAGTTTCTAATAAGAGGTTTTGATACGTATATGGAACTTGACTTGCTAAAGGGTGTAAAATTGCATAACAATAAAAGAGCCCTTGGCTAAGCTACAGGAGTCAGTTCACCAGAGGTTAGCTACCCTGTGAGTTAGCCACAGAATGCTAGAATTCATCCTAGAGTGTCTCTGTTTCTTCTTTCAACAGGACTGGACTCGTGTGAACCCAACACCCGACACAATTCCCTTCCCCAGCTTCACACTTTTTCCCCAAGACAGGGCTTCTCTGTGTAGCCCTGGTTGTCCTGGAACTCAGTCTGTATACCAGGCTGGTCTAACTCAAAGATTCACCTGCCTCTGCCTCTGGGGATGAAAGGTGTGCACCACCACAGCCCAGCTAACTTCATATGTTTCTAAATCATGGGGACATCCATGCTATGGCACCTGTGTGGAAGTCAACGGACAACTTTGTGGAGTTGGTTCTCTCCTTCCATCTTTATGTGTGTTCCAGGAATTGAATTCAAGTCTGGCTTCTTTGGCAAGCACCTTCACCTGCTGAGCCATCTCGATGGCCCTCACTTGGTTTTAAGTCTACCAGTTACCCTATGACAGAACTAAAGAGCTTTTTTTAAATTTTTTTTGAAACTGGGTTTCATAAAGCCCAGGCTATCCTAGAATTTACTGTGTATCCTAAGATGACCCTGAACTCCTGATCTTCCTACTTCCACCCGGAAGTATAGGTGGGAACCAACCTGCCTAGTTTAAGTTCTAGCCCAGTGCTTTAGGCAGGCTGGGCAAACCCTTACCAAAGGACCCCACCCCAGCTCAAGAGCACTCTTTGTTGTTTATTTTGGTTTTTCATTATTTATTTATTATGATTTATTGGGGGGGTGTATATGTGGTGCAGGTGTGTGGAATCCAGACTGTTGTGAGCTGCCAACCAGTACTTTGCTGGGAACAAACTCAGGTCCTCCAAATGACAGACCGTACTTAACCGATGAGCCATCTCTCATTCTGTTTTTAGAGACAAGGTGTTGTTCTTAGCCCAGCTGGACTCGAAATACTCCGGCCTCAGCACCTCAGGAGCCCAGAATTAACTGGAGCCCTCTTGAGACTATGTAAATGTAGCTGTGACCCCAGGTATCCCAAGGGCAATGGTAAGGTAACTCATTAACCAAACTCCTTCTCGGGTCTAAATTGCTCCAGATAGAATAAAACAAATAACCAGCTCTGAACTGTAACATCACAAAATAAGGCAGCAGACTAGCACTTTAGTTTATATGTTGATGGATAGCAATATGGATGTGCAAAATTAAGCCAGGACAGACAACAACCTCAGCCTGTTTTGCAGAGCAAAGAACACCAAAGTGCAGAGGCTGTCAGTCAAAAGAGCCATTCATATGGGGCTGGAGAGATGGTTCAGCAGTTCAGGGTGCAAATTGCTCTTGCAGAGGACCTGAGTTCAATTCAAAGTACCTGAGACAGATGTCTCACAACAGCCTGTAACTCCAGCTGCAGAAGAGCTTCAGCCACCGGGGGCACTTGTATGTGACACGCACACATATATAATTTTTTTTAAGATTTATTTATTTTTATTTATGGATGTGGGTGTTTGCTTGCATGCTTGTTTATGCACCACATAAGCACCTGGTGCTCTCGAGGCCAGAAGAGGGAGTTGGATACCCTGGAACTGAAGTACATAGCTGTAGGTTGTCCAATGTGGATGCTAGGAATCGGAACCCAGTCCTTTAGAAGAGTGCCTAGTGCTCTTAACCCCTAAACCACCTCTCCAGCCTCCCATAAAATGTTTTTAAAAGAGTAATTCTTGTAACTGTTAACCCCAGAGCCACCACTCTTTAAGTTACATTCCAACAGACACTATCTAGAATATTTAAATAAGAGAACAAATAAGAAACGGAATATACTACCACTAAAATCTTACCATTAGCCAGGTGGTTTAAAAATCTTACCATTAAAGTAGAATTTCAGCCTATTGGCAAATACGTTGGTCGTTGGGATATTGAGCTTAGCAGCCACATGCTCCACAATACTCCTAAAGCCACCAGATATAAGGAACACCTGAACATTTCGCTCCTGTAGGCGACTTACAAGCTCCCTACAAAAATAAACAGAGGATACAAACACATTGATTAACACAAAAAGGAAACACGAAAAAGATGCTTTTTTATTTCCTCTTGGATCCAGTGCTAGAAGTCCATCTGTAAGGATAGTGCCTGTGGGATTAACATTATATGTTTTTCCTTTTTGTTTTTTGATGGGGTGTCAGTGGTGCTGGTGAGGTATTGTTCATGGGGCGGGGGGTAAATAAAGTAACTTTATTGAACTTCTACCAGTCACAGTGGCCATTCTGAAGCCATGAACCTTTCTACTTAGGATTTTCACTTTCACTATCAATTACATTTTTATCCATGTATCCACTTTCATTGTGAGATTGTTGCTGTTGTTGTCTTTTTCATTGTTCTTTGTTTATTTGTTGTTTTTAAGACAAACTCTTGCTTTGGAGTCAGACTGGCTTTGAACTCACAACAGCAATCCTGCCTGAGCCACCTCTGTACTTGCATATCAGATGTGAACCAACACTGGGCTTGGTTTTTTTTTGTTTGTCTTGCTGACTTATTTTGAGATAAGATCTCATGTATCTTCGGATTATTTTGAATTTATGATCATCTGCCTACCTCCCATGTGCTAGGATTTCAAGCGTGTGCTACACAGACTCCCAGCTTGTGTGTGTGTGTGTGTGTGTGTGTGTGTGTGTGTGTATTCTGAGACAAGGTCTCACTATGTAGCCCAGGTTGGTCTTGAACTCAGGACCCTCCTGTCTCGGCTTCCTGAGTACTAGAATTACAAATGTGCACCACCACTCCCAGCATCGTATGTGCTTTTGCAGATGTACTTAGAAATTAAAGGGCGGAGCTTTTCTGCTTCGGGAAACCACCGCACTAATGCTAAGATAAGGAACCCCTAGAGAAGCCTGCTGAAAAAATGAGGACAGACATGAGCGAGACCAGAGAGTAAGATAAGAACAGATATAAGGGCCAAGAGAGCCATGCAGACGGGAGCCCCACAATAACAGATACTCTCCAGAGAGTGTCACAAATTCCCAAGCTGATAGGAAGACACTGTGCCAACGGCCAAGGCTGTGCTTACCTTATGCCGGGGGTCAGGTGTGGGGGGTGCTCCGCTAGAAGCCTTTGCACCTGCTCCCTGGAGGGCTGGATCAGTGCCAGGCGTTCAGTGAGCGCATCTCTGAAAGGCAATGCCCCTCCCATGGCTCTCCGAGTCCTAGGAGGAAGACCCAATAATCAGGCCGGCTGGTGTAGCTGTCTTTAAAGTCAACATGCCTTCCTATGCCAGGACTTCATGATAAACATCAGGAAGAAGGTAGTACCACGAGCTCAATTCTACTACAGGCATGCTGCCGACTACATACAAGGGTCTGCTTGGGAATCACACTGAGATTCTGATACCATGTACTGTGCATCCACAAATGAGTTAGAAACCCGAACATCCCACACACAGGCACCTTGCTTGCAAACCATAATCTAGGAAGAAACCAAAGGCCGAAAACTCCTGTATCAATTGCAGCTGAGCGAGTGACAGCCATAGCTCAGGAAGATGCCCCTGCTGCAGAGTGGGGAGGGCAAAGGGAAGGGTCGGAAGGGTCAGAAGGTTCTGGCCTGGGACCTCTCTCCATTGAAGCAGGAGGGCTGTACTTTCAACCATGACAGGAGCCACTGAATGTTTAGAGCCCCAGGCTATCTTTTTGGATTAATCATTTTCCCAGCCTGCCTAAGAATGTGTCACATCTGCAGAGACAACCATGTTTTGCTGCCTTTGTTTTTGCTGCAATATTTGCAGATGGATAAATGAAGACAGCACTCTACTACATTCAGTTTCAGGCAACGGGAGGAAATACCTAGTGCTCTGTCTTAGCGCTAGGCCAAAAACAAAACCTAGGAACTGAGACCCTAACATAGCCTTTGTTTTTGTTTGGTTCGGTTTTTTGAGACAGGGTTTCTCAGTGTAACAGCCCTGGCTCTTCTGGAACTCCCTTTGTAAACAAGGCTATCTTCAAACTCATAGATATCCACTGCCTCTACCTCATGCTGGGATTAAAGGTGTGTGCTATCACACCCAGTTGGTCGTTCTTTTTGGTGGTGGCCTTTAACCCCAGCACTTGGGAGGTAGAGGCGGGCAGATCTCTGTGAGTTCAGGGCCAGCCTGGTCTACAGAGCAAGTTCCAGGACAGGCTGCAAAGCTATGGAGAAACTCTATCTCGAAAAATCAACAACAAAAAAACATGGTGACTTCTTTAGCATGCCATAAAGGGAATATAGACAGTTCATACATTTCAGACACAGCAGCCTCCACACCACAGAATTTGGCCAGCTCATCAATTCCTTCTTCTTGGATGACTGTGCTATCGACATCAAAGCACACTGCATCGGCTGAACAGAGGAGTTCCCTCAGCTCTGAGTGGGAGACCATCCTGGGAAGAACTTTCCTCCTAGAACAGAAAAAGGGAAATGTGCTTAAAGATGTCAGATATAATCACAAGGGGCTAAGGATCGGGCTCAGCAGTAGAGTGTTGGGCCAGCATTCTTGAAGCCCTGAGTTTTACACACACACCCCACACGACCTAAATCAGGTGTAGTGGTGTATGCCTGGGATCCCAGCCCTAGGAAGTGGAGGCAGGAGGATCAAGAGTTTAAGACTGGGCTGAAGAGATGGCTCAGTGGTTAAGAGTGCTGGTTGCTCTTTCAAAGGACCCAAATTCAGTTCCCAGCACCCTCATCAAGCAGCTCACAGCTACCTGTAACTCCAGCTCAGACCTCTCTGGCACATGCAAGAGCGCGAGCTCTCTCTCTCTCTCTCTCTCTCTCTCTCTCTCTCTCTCTCACACACACACACACACACACACACACTTAAATAAAAATAGCAATAATAATTTTTTTAAAAGACAGAGTTGCTGGGTGGTGGTGATATTCCTTTAATCCCAGCACTTGGGAGACAGAGGCAGATGGATCTCTGTGAGTTCCAGGATAGCCAGGGCTACATAGAGAAACCCTGTCTCAAAAAGCCAAAAGGTAGAAAGAGAGAGAGAGAGAGAGAGAGAGAGAGAGAGAGAGAGAGAGTTTAAGATCATCCTTAGCAGGCTAGAGAGATGGCTCAGAGGTTAAGAGCACTGGGTACTGAGTTCAATTCCCAGCACCCACATAGTGGCTCATAACCATCTAGAATGAGATCTAGTGTCCTCTTCTGGACATCAGGGATACATCCAGGCAGAACACTGTATTCATAATAAATAAATAAAAATTAAAAAAAATCATCCTTAGCTACATAGCAAGTTTGAGGCCAGTCTGGGTGACATAAGACCCTAGCTCAATAGGTACAGACGCCTGCTGCCAAACCTCAATCCCCGAAGCCACATGGTGGAAGCGAAGAGAGGAATCATGAAAAGTTGTCCTCTGACCTCTGAGCTCTGGGCTCACACTGTGCTGCACATGTATCCCCCACTCACACATAACCACGAGTTTGTTTGGTTTTTTTCTGGGATGTTCATGCAGTGTTATAATGGCCAAAACTTGGAAACAACTGAAATATCCTTCAGTTGATGGATGAAAGATAAATAATTTTCAGGCAGCAAGACAGTATCATTCCCCAGCTAAAGAGATGGACTTTCAAGCCAAGAGAAAGGGGAATGCTCATCAGGAAAGGCTCCAAACTGTGTGCTTGTAACCATGACACTGTGGATGAGGCAGAGCTATGAACAAAACAAAAAGGTCAGTTTCGATCAAGTGTTATGGGTGAGGGATGAAGTGAAGAGGTCTGGGGGGCGGAATTTAAATATTTATTTTTATTAAGTGTGTATGTGTGTGTATCTTTTGAACAACACATTTTTTTTTCAAGAAAAGAAAGCAAGCTTATCCCATAAATACATCATGTGATTCACCTGAGTTGGGCAATGAGGCACAGGTTGAGGGGAAAGCTAGCCAGGAAGGCAAATTATGTAAGAGCTGAAATGAGATCATGGCTGAGAATAACTGATAGTCACCCAGAGCCCCAGAACTAGCAAAAAGGCAAATTCAGGTCAGACACCTGGAATGGAACCTGACAGGAAACAAAGAATGTCCTTAAGAGGCTTCATGGATTTCAGAGATGCTGGGCACAGGGGTGCACTTTGTGCTTGCAATTTCAGCACTAGGGAGGGGAGGGGAGGAGCATCAGGGATTAAAGGTCATCCTTGGCTATATAGTGAGTTTGAGTAATAAGGTCAAGGCAAGCCTGGGCTAGAGATCCTATCTCTACATAAACATATACGTGGGTACCGGTGGTGATGCACACCAGTGTTCCCAGAGCTAAGGAGGCTGAGCAGGAGGATCATGAGCGCAAAGCTAGGCTGGTGCTACATAGTGAGACTAGTCTAAAAAAGAAAAACCCTTGGCTATAGGGGAAAACTAAGTTCAGTTGTTTCAAAGTAAATTGTGTACATTAGACTTTCAGAGAGAAAGAAAAATCACTTCGGGGGGAAACAGACTCTGGAACCTTCACATCTGGCTTTTAGGGGAAGGGAAGCCCACAGATGAGGAGTGGAAAGAGTGCTGGAGGAAAGGTCTGTGTTCAAACACAGGCCCAGGCCCACCCACTGCCTTCAGTGGTGCAGACCTGGGGCTCCAGCTTGGCAGTGGATCCGCCCAACTTTATTCTTTAAAAATTGTGCTGCAAGCCCTTCTTCACCAGAGCACCAAGTGAAAACAGAAGTTTTTCTTCGTGGCTGGATTTAGGAGGCCACCAGAGGTAAGAGGAAAAATATCCTTGCTCAAACAGATTGAAGTTTTTCCATCTAGTATCTTGCAAGAGGCACCTAAGATCATGTTAGCTTTCTCACCATTTGTTATGATATACCTCTTACCTTCTAAACTGTGTTTTAAAAAAACAGATAAAAGCGGGTGTTCTGGGACTGTCTAAATTCCCAGCACGTGGAGGGTGAAATCATAAGGATTAGGAGTTCAGAGCCAATGGGGCTGCAAGAAACCCTGTCTCAAAATAAAGGACAGTTAAGGTCAGCACAGGAAGCTGGAGAGATGGCTCAGGGGTTAAGAGCACTTGCTACTCTTACAGAGGAACCAGGTCCAGTTCTTGGCACCCGCATGGCAGCTCCACAGCTGCCTGGAACTCCAGTCCCAGAAAATCCAGTGCTTTCTTCTGGCCTCTGCATGCACTAGTATATTATGTGGTACACATACATAAAATAAAAATAAATACATTTTTAAAGTGGCCACAGAGGTTAAGCACATTGGAGAGAATCAAATTTACTAGACTCTGGTAGAGGGTAAACCATACTAAGAGCAAAACTATTCAGGACCCCGGGACAGTGCAAAATAGATTCTGGGAAGCTTCTCAATCCAAGTCAAATCAAAGACCTTCTCTGGAGTAGGGGAAAGATTATAGGCTAGCATATTTTTCTTTTCTTTCTTCTTTTTTATTTTTCTTGTTGTTGTTTTGTTGCAGAAGGGTATTCCAGGTAGCCCAGGCTGGTATAGAACTCCCCATGTAGCCTAGGCTATGGCAAACACAAGACCTTCATGCCTTAGCTAAAGTGCTAAGATTACAGGCATATGGCACTACACCTGGCCACTTACATTTTATATTAAAGAAAATTATTCTGGGTGAATGCAATGGCTCAGCATAGGTAAGTATTGGAGTCTGCTGCCAAGCCTGGCAACCTAAGTTCTGTCCCCAGAACTCACATAGTAGAGAAAGAGAACTAACTCTTGAGTATTGTGCTCTGATTTCACGTGTGCCAGGGCACCTATGAACAAATCAACATACACAATAAACAAACTAGAAAGTAAGTAAATAACTGTAAAAGAAATAGATAAATAAAAATGTTTAAAAAGGAAAAAAAACAGGCTGGGCATTGGTGTCGCACGCCTTCAATCCCAGCACTTGGGAGGCAGAGGCAGGCGGCTCTCCATGAGTTCAAGGCCAGTCTGGTCTACAGAGGGAGCTCCAGGACAACCTTCAAAACAATACAGATACACCCTGTCTCAAAAAAAAAAAAAGGAAAAAAAGCTAGCTATTCAAGCTAGGTATGATAATGTGTATGTCATGACGCAGGAAGCTGTGGCAGGAGGGTTACTGTGCGTTACAGACCAATCTGGGATACAAAATGAGTTCTTGCCACAAAAAAAAAAAAAAAAACATTTTTAGGGGGCTAGACAGATGGTTCACCAGTTAAGAGCACTGGCTGCTTTTCCAGGGAACTTGATTTTGCTCCCAGCACCTGTATGATAGCATAACCAACTATACCTCCAATTCCAGAAGATCTGATACCCTCTTCTGACCTCCTCAGGTACTAAGCATGCAAGTGGTACACAGATATGCATCTGGTAAGAAACACCCATACACATATAACAAAAATTTAATTTAGTTTAAAAAAAAAAAAGAAATAGATAAACATCTTGTAACCCGAAGTGGCATGTATATATCATGTTATGGTAAGCAATGCTTCTTTTTCTTTTTCTTCTTCTCTTCCTCCTTCTTTATAAAGACAGGTTCTCCTATATCCTACCTGGCCTGGCATCACACATGCTATGTAGCCAAGGCTAACCTTGAACTCCTGATGCTCCCATCTCCACCTCCAGAGTGCTGAGATGCCAGGCACAAACACTATACCCACTTCATCTGGTGGAACCCAGGGCTTTGAGTATGATAAGCATGGGCTCTACCCACTAAGCCACATCCTCAAACCAGCAGACACTACTTTTCCTCCAGGAGGTTAGCTCATAGGCAAACCTAACAACCCAATGCATGCAGATGTCCAGTACTCACGATTCTCCAGAGCTGGGTTCCTGATGACAGTGTTTTTCTCTTCCCCTCACTTTGTTGGTTAAAAATACACCGTAACCTCAGGTTTGAGATTTTTTTTTTTTTAAGAAATATCTGTGGATTTTACAAGAGCCTAAAAAACAAACAAAAAAAAAATGAGAAATGAACAGCCAGGATCAGACTCATGGCAAAGAAGGAGGTTGAGAGGCTGGGGATTGTGGCTCAGTTGGTAAAGTCCTTGCCTGGCATGCAGCAAGTCCAGGGTTCCACCCTCTGCAGTGCAAAAACCAGAATTGATGGCTTACACCTGTAACCCCAGCACTCAAAGGGCAGAATCAGCCCAAGGGATCAGAAGTTCAAGGTTATTTTAGGCTACACAGGGAATTAGAGGTTCAAGAAGCTGGGGGGGGGGGGGGGGGGGGGGGGCTCTAAGTGACCTCCTAGTATGATTGTTCTAACAATGGTTCAAACCCAAAGTTTCCTAAAACTGCTTCCCCTGGGAGATGCTGGAGCAGAGAAGAGAAGTAGCTACAGCCTTGTCCGTGGCTTCCACTCTGCCACTTCCAGGAAGTTACCACACCTGATGAACAGAATACAAACAGGACCTGCTGGAAGAACAATATGCAAATACGGAATGAAGAGACTTGAGCATGGGCTAAACCCAATAGTCCCATCTGTCTTCAAAATAAGGTGTGTGTGTGTGTGTGTGTGTGTGTGTGTGTGTGTGTTCCCTCGTGCCTGTAATTTCAACAATTGAGGGGCTAAGGAAGTCTGAGGAAGGAGCATCACTTGGGAGTTTTAATCCTGTCTCAAACACACACACACACACACACACACACACACAGACACACACAATTTGAATGTAAGTGTAGCAGAAGAAGGTGCTAAATCTCAGAAGAAAAAGGAGATAAACAGGAACAGTTAAGAACTAGAGCCAAAAGTCTGGCCTGGTGGTGCTGGCATCCTAGTACCTGGGAAGCTAAGGCAGGAAGATCACTGTACATTCACATCAGCCTGGGTTACATAAATAATTTTCAATTTTCAGGCCAGCCTGGGCTATAGACACTTTGTCTCAAAAAAAAAAAAAAAGGAAGAAAGAAAGAAAAAGAAAAAAATGGACTACACCCTTGTATTGTTTGTAATCTAACAAATAAAGCTTGCTTGAAGATCAGAGTACAGAGCTAAGTCACTAGTTAACCACACATCTAGTTAAGAGCTAAGCCACAGGCGGGTTATGGTGGTGCACGCCTTTAATCCCAGCACTCAGGAGGCGGAGGCAGGCGGATCTCTGTGAGTTCGAGGCCAGCCTGGTCTATCAAGTGAGTTCCAGGATAGGCTCCAAAGCAATACAGACAAACCCCGCCTTGAAAAAAAAAAAAAAAAACCCCTAAAAAAAAAAAAAAAAAAAAAAAAAAAGAGCTAAGCCACTAGTCAGCCATAGAGGACAGGCAGTGGTAGCCACACATTTAATCCCAGCACTCCGGAGACAGAAGCATATGGATCTCTGTGAGTTCAAGGCCACCCTGGGCTACATGAGAGTAAATCAGTCTAAAAGAGAAACAAAGCTCACACCTTTAATCCCAGCACTAGAGAGACTATTTGCAGGACTAGTGCAGTCTCAGAGATCGGGCTGAGATTTTTATTGGAGAGCATTGCAATCTAGGCAGTCTGAGGAGTAGTACAGTCTAGAGACACAATCTGAGGGTACAACTGCCCTTTTGGTCTGAGCATTGGTAGAGGTGAGTAGTGGCTGGCTCCTTTGCTTCTCTAGTTTTCAGCTTTAACCCCAGTATTTGTCTCTGGGTTTTTATTATTTGTGCTAAACACCCTTCAAAAAGGAAGCTATGTAAATAAACTTGTAAAAAGAATAAGTAAAGTTTTTGTGAAGATAAAAGTACCCAGGACATGGCCCAGCGGGAACTCTCATACACTCCTGGGGCTGGGGGTGGAGGGGACAAAGTTCTTGTAGGTTAAAGATAGATTTACAAGGCCCAGCAGTTCCACTCTTAGAGATGCATACAAGAAAAAGAAAGGTCGGTGATGGGAGAGAAACATGTTCATGGTTTATTTGTGGGTGATTGCCCAAATGCCAACAGATAAGTTTTAAGCACTTGGGAAATGGAAGCATAAGTATCAGGAGTTCAAGGCCAGCCTGTGCTAACACACATATACACATACACACAAGAGTAAATATAATAATCAAGATTCTTATATAATTATAATCAGCTGAAAATATAATCAGCATTGGAGAGATTCCTCAATGGTTAAGAGTATTTGCTGTTCCTGCAGAGAACAGGAGTTTGGTTTCCAGCACTTCCATGGGTCACAGGGGTAGGTCCATAACCTTCTGTAACTCCAGCTCCTAGGGTTCTGACACCTTTGGCCTCTGAAGGTACACACACACACACACACACACACACACACACACACACACACACACCTTAAAGAAAGCGAGCAAATTTAATGAATGATTTAACACCCAAATAAAAGCTATTCCTTTATAATGGAATTTCAAATTCTATTTCTAATGGAAATGATGGCAAAGTCAAGACACTTCAGGTCCCAGTTTGGAGAATTTTCCTATCTTCTACAGGTGATTCTCCTGTGCCAGATTGCATCATTCATTCATGCTGTTTGTCTTGGAGAATGAAAAAAGTGAAGCTATCTAAAATAAGAACTAACTAATTGAAAGCCTTGGAGTCCCAGGAGATAATTACCTATCCAGCAAAGAATCAGAGAGGCCATAGCTGTGGGAAAGCGAGGACCGATGCATCAGAAAACTGAGCACGGGGCAAGCCAGGCGCGAGCGGGGTACTCACCGCGGTTGCTGGGCCGCGCTGGTCTTCACGGTTCCTGTGCCTGTAACTTTCCGGTAGCAGCAGGGTCTGGAGCTGCTGTGACGTGTGAGCGTTGCGTCCTAAGGGAAGTGAACCGTGCAGGAGATCACAGCCCTCACCCAAGTCTCATCTGGGATCTGCTGATGAGACCAGCGGCTTCAGAACAGCTTTGCATGTGCGTTCCCAACTGGAGACCGCAGATCTCAGCTCTGCAAAACCGGGTTGGAAGGCCTCCTTGATCCAGCCCCCAGGGGAGGGGCTTCCCGGTCCCGCCCCCCACCCCTTCCCTTCCTAGGAGCCACGGTGATGTCTCTGTGACCTCTAGTTGGCTCGAAAGTGCTCCCCGACTTTCAAAAGCCGTGCCCCAATGCATGCTCCCTGCACGCGAGAGAAGCGAGGGCCCTCTGTACTGATTTCGCAATGCACGAAGCCCCTTTGTGAGCCCTTTCTGAAACCCCGGTTTCCTACGCTGTCCCTGCAGGAAGTCAGGTGCCAGGAGAATTACAAAATCTACAGAGTTGCTGGCAAAGTAACTCAGTTGGCAGAGTGTTTCCCTGGTGTTCAAGAATTGGGTTCCATCCCTAGCGCCACATAAACCGCACAGTGGCATATGCCTGAAATTCCAGGACTCAAGAGCTGGAGACAGGAGGATCAGCAGTTCAAAGTCATCCTGACTACATAATGAACTTGAAACAAGCCTGAACCACAGGAGAGTCCTTGTCTAAAAATAAAAATACTTTGTTCACATTTATAGTGAAAAATAAAAAAAAAGTCACAAATCTTTGTTGGGCTGGACAAAGGCCCAAAAGTTATTAGTACTATTGCTGCTATTGGAGAAGATCAAGGTTTAGGTCCCAGCACCTCCATCAGGTGACTCACAACCTCATCTCCAGTTCCAGGAGATCCAATGCCTGCTGGCCTCTGAGGGCACCAGCATGCATGCAGGCACATACATAAAAATAATTTTTATTTAAATTATTTATTTATTTAATATGTATGGGTGTTTCCTCTGCATGTAAGTCTGGCACTTCGTGCATGCGTAGTACCTGCTTAGACTAGAAAGGGGCATCTGATCTTCTGGAGCTGGAATTACAGGAGGTTGTGAGCCTCCATGTGGATGCTGGGAATCAAACCCAGGTCCTCTGCCAGAGCAGCCCCTGCTCTAAACCAATGAGCCATCTCTCCAGCTCTATATTTTTTTAACCTTTGCAATTTTCCCACTCATGTGTATACTTGTGTGATGTGCATGCCTGCTTTCTTGTGTGTGGTGGCTGCTTGCATGTGTCCACGGAGACCCAAGTTTGGTAGCAAGTGTCTTCCTCAGTTGCTTTCTATCTTACTAATTAAGGTAGGATCTCTCCACTGAACTTGGAGCTGATACATAAAGCTATTCTGCCTGGGGCTGGAGAGATGGTTCAATGGGATGGCTCAATGGTTAAGATCACTGGCTGCTCTTCCAGAGGTCCTGAGTTCAATTCCCAACACCCACATGGAGCTCACAACCATCTATAATAGGATCTGATGCCCTCTTCTGGACATCAGGGATACATGCAGAGCACGCATACATAAACTATAAATTAAAAACAATACAAAAAAAACATATTCTACCTAGCTAGCTTACTTTGAGGATCACATTTCTGCCTTCCTAGTGCTGGAATTTCAAACAGGCCTCCATTCCCACCCCACATTCATGTGAATTACAAGTATCTAAACTCCCAATCTTGGGCTTGCATGGCAAGTACTTTGGCCACTGAGCCAACTTCTTAGCCCATATACCTGTTTGTTTTATGTCCATTTGGTTGGTTCGGGGGGTTTGTTTCTTGGATTGTGTGTGTGTGTGTGTGTGTGTGTGTGTGTGTGTGTGTGTGTGTCTGTGTGTGTATCTGTGTGTCTGTGTGTCTGTGTGCATGTGCATGAGTGCATGTGTGTACTTGGAATTGTGAACCTAGGACTTTACACATACTAGTCAAATGTTCTACTAGTGAGCATTCTAGCCCTACCTAGCCCTCTTTTTAATTCATAATTTGAAAATGAGTCTAAGTTGCCTATTCTGGCCTTCAACTCACTCTATAGCCCTGTCAGTCCTTGAACTTGGGATCCTTGTACCTCTGTCTCTTGAAGGGCTGGAATGGCAGGCCAGAATCACCAGGGCCAGCATGCACCTGCTTTGTTTTGTCCCACCTGCCCCCTTACAGATGTCACTTGTCGAGCCACTATTTCAGCATAACCAGTAAAGAATGTTGTTCCCAAGTTTTCACAATGCAGGGAGCAAGCTGCAATTAGGCAATGAAGTCCAACCTAAGACAACATGAAGCCTCTAGTGCTGCCCATCGGCTTCGCCCAGCAGAGAGGATGCCAAGGCTAAGGCAGGCCTCTAGCCACAACAACCATGCCCTTAGCTGGAGAAGCTCCCAAAGTACACAATTCAGGAAGGTGTAATCTTTAATCCCAAAACTCAGAAGGAAGCCAGAGGCAAGTGAATCTCTGTGAGATCAAGGCCAGCCAAGTCTACATAGTGAGTTCCAGGCCAACCTACAGCTATGTAGTGAGACCCTGTCTCAAAATAAACAAAGAAAAAATTGCCGGGCGTTGGTGGCACATGCCTTTAATTCCAGCACTCGGGAGGCAGAGGCAGGCAGATCTCTGTGAGTTCGAGACCAGCCTGCTCTACAAGAGCTAGTTCCAAGACAGCCTCCAAAGCCACAGAGAAACCCCATCTCGAACAACAACAACAAAAAAAAAAGATAAGAAAAGAAAAGAAAAAATTATACAATTCAGTCCAGTACAAAAGTCCCCATATTCTTTGTTCAGACATGACTTTGAAGTTCACTATTCCCAGAATTCATTAATTGAAAAATGGCTGTAAAAGTGGGACAAACTTAGTTTCCCTGTCTCCACCTAGATGGGATTCTTCTAAGTGACATTTATTTAATTATTGTGGAGGGGGGCAGGTTCCACAGCATTCCCGTGGATCTCAAAGGACAACATTATGGAATCAGTTTTCTCCCTCCACTATGGGTGTCCTGGGATCAAATTCATGTCATTGGATTTAGTGGCAAATTCCTTTACCAGTGGAACCATCTAGCCAGCCTCAGAGATGGTTTTGATGAGACTGAGTGCTTGCCTAAGTAATTCCCAAGACCAGATGAAAAAAACAGGTGAATTAAGAGTTTTGAATAGCCCGGTGTTGGTGGCACACGCCTTTAATCCCAGCACTCGGGAAGCAGCGGCAGGCGGATCTCTGAGTTCGAGGCCAGCCTGGTCTCTAGAGAGAGTGCCAGGATAGGCTCCAAAGCTACACAGAGAAACCCTGTCTCAAAAAACCAAAATAAGTAAAAATAAAAAAAGAATATTATATTAAGTTTTGCCGGAGTGCAGCCTTTAATTTTCCAACTCAATCCAACATCTATCTTTCCCTTTCTCTACCTAACTTTAGAATCACCCTCTGCATCATTTTACCAACAGTTACAATGGAACTGCAAGCTCACCAAGTGGGTTGGTTATACAAGTAAATATGAGTTTTCCATTTGCCATTCACCATATACATGACTTTTGTGATGATTTTCAAATCTACACAATAAAAAATAATCTACCTAATAAAAAGATTATATCAGCATAATTACTTCAGCCAGAATAGCTGAAGTTTGGGAATAGCTAAATGTCAGTCAGATGAGTGGTTAGCTCTATCTTTCTTTTCTTAAATTTTCTGTGCTGAGATACATATAGGGCCTTTGCAACTGCTAAGCCAGTGCTCAACCACTGAGCTTCACTCCTCATAGTTCATCTTTGTTTTTGTTTTCCTTTGAGACAGAGCTTCTCTGTGTAGCCCTGGCTGTCCCAGAACACAATCTATAGACCTGGCTGGCCTCAAACTCATATAGATCTGCCTTCCTTTGCCTCTCAAGCCCTGGGATTAAAAGCATGCACCATCACCATACTGGTCTTTTTTCTTTTTCCAAACAGGGTCTCACTATGTAGCCATGACTGACCAGGAACTTGCTATGTAGATCAGGTTTGTCTTGAACTCACATTGATCCACAAGCCTGCCTGCCTAGTGCTGGAATTAGATGTGTACTACTATGCCTGGCTTTGTTTCATTCTTGCAATAACTATTAGACAGATGTTGAGGAGAATCAGAGTTTCTTATTTCAATCAAAATGGCAAAACCTCCAGTATAGACCAGCATAATATATCCAATGGTGTTATGAATTGTCATCTGTGTGGAGAAGTGATTCCTATTGATATACATGTTTATAAAGTCAGGTAAAAGCTTAAAAATTGAGCACATATATATACCTAAGTGCTCAGACATACAGGCAGGAAAAACATACATACACATAACATTGTTTTTAAAAAAAAAAGTTAAAGGGGGTCTGGAGATATGGTTCAGTGGTTAAGACCACAGGCTGTTCTTCCAAAGAACCCGGGTCCAATTCCCAGTACCCACATGGCAGCTTATAACTGTCTGGTAACTCCAGTTTCAAAGGATCTGATACCTTCACATCAATGCACATAAAATAAAGTTTAAAAATTATTTTTTTAAAAAAAGTTAGAGTCCTTTCAAAGGCTGGGCACCACTGTCCAACTAAGCTTGAGTTTTTAGCAGGCATACAAGATCACACCACTTTGGAGGTTGAAGCAGGATTGCTATGAGTTAGCTATCAGTCCAGGCTATACAGTGAGTAGGTTAACCGGGGCCAGAGTGAGACCTTGTTTCACATACAAAAATAAAAAAGCCGGGTGGTGGTGGTGCACGCCTTAAAGCCTGCACTATGGAGGCAGAAGCAGGCAGATCTCTGTAGATTTGAGGCCAGCCAGGTCTACAGAGCGAGTTCCAGGACAGCCAAGGCTACACAGAAAAACACTAACTCGAAAAACCAAAAACCAAACCAACCCTGAGTCCACAAATCTGCCTCAGTGACCTGGGCCCTAAGAATAGACTATTAAGTCTCATCAACGCCCATCGCGCCAATCTCGTCGCTCCTAAAGCCATCCAGGAGTTTCTACCTAGCATTATACTCGTCTTTCCCGGATTTAAATCACCAGAGTACCAGAGAAGCGTCCTTTATCTGTGTTCCTACTTTTAAGGATAAAAGGAGCGATAAAAATGAGTCTAAGAAACCTCGCGAGAGGGTGAGGGGGCCATTCCCGGAACCCAGAGTCCAGTAGCTACAGACACGCTGCAAAGCGAAGCCCATGCCTCTGCTTCCTGTCACACCCAGACGAGTGCTGAGGCCGAAGAATCCCTCACACAGCAGGCCACACAACCTCTGCGACCAAAACGGAACCTTAAGATGCGGAGTGACGATTGCCAGAGAACAAGTTTCTCGGATGCGCAATGACGCCGCAACTGAGCGTGACGGGCGGAGCCTCGAGAGACTAGCGTCTGACTGAGCCAATCATCGAGCAGCAGCGGAGCCGCAGTCCAATGGAGGTGCGCTGGAGGCACGCTGGGGGCGGGCCGGGTGCGTAAGACTTTTCGAGAAGACCCGCATAGAGCACGTTGTTCTCGGCCTCTCCCTGAGCTCGGCCGGCCATGGCGGCGGTGAAGAGCCTAAACCCTAAAGCCGAGGTGGCCCGGGCGCAGGCAGCGTTGGCCGTGAACATCAGCGCGGCACGGGGCCTGCAGGATGTACTGAGGACCAACTTGGGGCCGAAGGGCACCATGAAGATGTAAGGCCGGGATGGCGGGAGGGCGGGCCTGGCGGGCCCATGGCCGCAAACTCGAGCCGCCGCCTCCAGGCCTTGGCTTTCTACGATGTCTGTGCAGCCTCCCAACCAAACCGCCCAGTTCACTCCTTTTGGGATTGCCAGGCGCACCCACTTCCTTTGGAGGGAGAGGGTGGCGTGTGCACCTTTCCTCTACCCAGCCCCGTGACCCCGAGCTTACTAGGATGTAGTTGTAACCAAATTTTATGGGTTTTATTTTTTTTTACCTTATAGTTGGCAAATTGATGAAGTTCACTGGGCCGCAGCGCTTTATTTTACTCTGCTCTTACTACCTATGCCTTTTTCCCCTTGTACCCGCGTCCCAAAAGACGCTTGCTTTCATGTCATATATCCCATTGTCTCCTTGTGGGCTTTTTATTATGTATTTATTTGGGCTCTGACTGATCTGCTCTGAGCTGCCTCGAACTTACAGAGATTCACTTGTCTCAAAAAGAGAGAGAGAGAGAAGCCGGGCAGTGGTGGCACACGCCTTTAGTCCCAGCACTCTGGAGGCAGAGGCAGGTGTATCTCTGTGAGTTCGAGGCCAGCCTGGTCTACAGAGTGAGTGCCAGGACAGGCTCCAAAGCTACAGAGAAACCCTGTCTCAAACCACCCCCTTCCCCAAAAAACACAAATAAGAGAGAAAGAAAGAAATATGCCCTTCCCTTTGACTTCTTTATGGAATTCTTAATTGGGTTTCCATTGAAAAAACGTTACATGTTGCTCATCAGTTTCTGCCCATTTGACAGGCTTGTTTCTGGTGCTGGAGACATCAAGCTTACTAAAGATGGCAATGTGCTGCTTCACGAAATGGTAAGAGGTTGCCGTGCTACGTTAAAAAATAAAAATAAGAAAAGCTTGACCTCCTGTAGTTTTGCTAGTGTTGGCATGTTCATTATTGAGGTGGCTCATATCTTTGAAACAGAAATGTAGAAAATAGTGTACTGGATGAAGAACTCTGCTTGGGGAGGGGGCCTTTTTTTTGTAGTCTGGGTGGTGGTGGTGGTAGTATGCTTTAGTCCTAGCACGATGGAGGTGAGCCAGGTGGTTCAAGGCCAGCCTGACCTACAAAGCAAGTTCCAGGACAGCCAGTGCTGTTACATAGAGAAACCCTCTCTTGAAAAACCAAAAACAGGGCTGGAGAGATGGCTCAGAGGTTAAGAGCACTTCCAGAGGTCCTGAGTTCAATTCCCAGCAACCACATGATGGCTCACAACCATCCGTTATGAGATCTGGTGCCCTCTTCTGGTGTGCAGCTATACATGGAAGCAGAATGTTGTATACATAATAAATAAAATCTTTTTTTTTTTTTTAAGAAAAAACAAAACAAAAATCATAGCCAGGCAGGGCTACATAGTGAGATGCTGTTTCAAAAACAGGGCAATTGGGAAAGAAAAACAAAAACCCTCATATTCCTACCAAACCACTGGAGAAATGAAGCTTTTCTTGCATCATAGATAACCTGCTTCTGCCTCCTAAATGCTGCGGTTAAAACTGTACACCGTCACACCTGGCTAACTATATATTCTATATGTTGTTATTTTGTCCCAAGGGTTAAATGAAATTGGTCCAAGCATCCATTTGTTTACCAGAACTTTCAGGTCCAGCAGTTTAAATCCCAGAAAAGAAAATGACTTAAAAATCCAAGCAAAATGTAGCCAAGCTGGACACTTTACGTGGATGGCTTTAAAAGGAGCCTGTCTTACATTTTACCTTAGGTAATGGTTTAAGTCATTTAAACAGTTCTTTTTTTTCTACTTTTAGCAAATTCAACACCCAACAGCTTCTTTAATAGCAAAAGTAGCTACAGCCCAGGATGACATAACTGGTGATGGTACTACATCCAATGTCCTTATCATTGGGGAGCTGCTAAAACAGGCAGATCTCTACATTTCTGAGGTATGCATGATAAAATTGTTTCTGTGGTATTTTTGGTGGGCTCTTGGTGCAAATTGATGCAATACTCCCTGAGAGCACACCACAACTGTAAGGTCAAGCTGCTTAAATCTGGGAGCCTGTGCTTGTCTTTATCATGGTCCGGTGTCAACTATATATAAATGATAATATATTTATATTTAACGGACTTGTCTCAAACTCAGAGAGATCTAGCTGGTTCTGCTCCATACCTGGCCTAGTCTCTGGTTTTTTGTTTTGTTTTGTTTTTAATAATATTTCAAAATAATGTGAACTAACTGCAGACAGGATAAGCATTTGCTGACAGCAGAACTTTAGGAGCTAGTTTTGGGTTTGGTATTCTGGTTTGCACAGTGAACACCCAAGTGTGCTTTGTCTGTGGTTCCCTTGGCCTTGACTCTGTGCTAGAGTAAAGTCTGTTCGTTTCCTCTGCATTGAAAGGAGTACTGTGTCCTTTTAAATGTATTCAGAAAATCAGCACATCATGTTAGCTTAATTGTATTAGGTATGGGTCACTTAGGGTGTCCCTTCAAATGTTACTGGACTTAGTGAATTGTTGCATCTTGTTGAAGATGCAAATGTTGGCAGTGGTTTTGTAACTGTTTTGATTATAGGGTCTTCATCCCAGGATAATAACTGAAGGTTTTGAAGCTGCAAAGGAAAAGGCACTCCAGTTTTTGGAACAAGTCAAAGTAAGCAGAGAGATGGACAGAGAAACACTCATCGATGTGGCCAGAACATCTCTTCGAACTAAAGTTCATGCTGAACTCGCAGATGTCTTAACAGAGGTGTGTGGTGCAGGGCACAGAGAAAATCTCCCATAAATATCTGTTTTCAGTGTTGCATACCTAGGGTCTTCACAGGAATGTTGTGTAAAGTAAGGGGTTTGGGTTTTTCCCTAGGCAGTAATAAACTAATCTGTCTTCATCTTCAAAGTGTGAAGAATAAATTGTTACTAGGCCAGCCAGGTTTTGGAAAAATAGTTGAAACTTTCATAGAAGGATTATGAAGTACAGACTGAGTTTTGGTCAAAGATGTGTCATTCCCTCCTCTCCCCATGGGAACTGGTAGTTTGGTGTATGTTGTGGTCTAATCGGGCTAATTATTAATTCTAACACTTTGTCTGCTGTTTCTGAATAAATTAGAAATTTACTGAAAAAGGTAAATTATTGTAAGGTATACTGATGATGTGAGGACTGGAAGATGGCTCAGAGGTTAAGAGCACTGGCTGTTCTTCCAGAGGTCCTGAGTTCAATCACAGCCATCCATAATGAGATCTGGTGCCCTCTTCTGGTGTGGAGGCAGAATGTTGTATACATAACAATTTTTTTTTTTCCTCTTGAAAACAAAAGTTGCCTGTATTTGCAATATAGTAATGAGAATGTTGATTCTTCAGACAATTGCAAGTTGAGGTTTGAGAGACAAATTACTTCAACCTTTCCATTTGTCTAAAGGTCAGCTAAAGTGTATCAGCTTCTACAAATTAAATTTATTTAATGGTTATCTCATAGGCTGTAGTGGATTCCGTTTTGTCCATTAAGAAAACAAATGAACCCATTGACCTCTTCATGGTTGAGATCATGGAGATGAAACATAAATCTGAAACTGATACAAGGTAGGTGACAGAATGTTTTTTGATGTTTTCTACCGATGAACTTCTCCCTAGCCCTGAGACAAGTTCATATTAGGTTAGTTACTGGCTGTGATATTTATTCTAAGTGGCATGCATTGTTGAAATGAAGGGGTACTGTGCTGTGTCTGTGGTCAGCGTAGTTCTAAAATGTAAATATCAGTGAGTGTTTATTGATATGCTTGAGTATACTTCATACAAAGATTCTAATTTGAAGGTGGGCGGGGTTTAAGACAGAGGCAGGCAATGTCTGAGTTCAAGGCCAGCCTGGTCTACAAGAGCTAGTTCAGGACAGCCTCAAAAGCCACAGAGAAACCGTGTCTCACCCCCCCCCCAAAAAAAAAATCTAGACTGAAGATGTTTCTTTTAGAGAATTAAAGTGATCACAGTTTGATAGCCTACTGGTATACAGGTTTTTCCTAAAGTAGAAGATTGTTATTTTTGTTTGGGCAGCTTGTCTTGTATCTTAGAGCATTGCCTTTTCACATCTGGCCTTAAATTAACTGAGAAGTTTTCAAACTATTTTAGAAATTAGTGGACTTGAATAAAAATTGTTGCTATAGCAATTTATTTTATTATTGTGTATCACTCTCCTGTCTGGTATATATAAATAGGAGTGGTATTAAATTTCCTGTTTAGCTTAATCAGGGGACTTGTTTTGGATCATGGAGCACGGCATCCTGATATGAAGAAAAGAGTAGAAAATGCCTACATCCTCACGTGCAACGTGTCCTTAGAATATGAGAAAACGTGAGTTTGTAACAGAACCAACCCTTCAGGGGAGGAGGAGGAGGTTGGCATGGGGACTTGGGTTATATGTAACTTAGTCGTAGAGCACTTGGTCTAGAGTGGCCAGCCTAAAGCAGTCCCGTCAGTCCCATTGCAACTAAGGTAAGAATGGAAATCTTCCCCTTTTCTGTGACTTTTTTTTCTTTTGTAGAGAAGTGAATTCTGGGTTTTTTTACAAGAGTGCCGAAGAGCGAGAAAAACTAGTAAAGGCTGAAAGAAAATTCATTGAAGATAGAGTTAAAAAGATAATAGAACTGAAAAAGAATGTCTGTGGTGATTCAGATAAAGGATTTGTCGTTATTAACCAAAAGGTAAAAATTTAAAGTTTTGAATTAGTCTTGTTTGTTTTCAAGGTGAAGGCTATTGAAAATATTTTGGTTTTTATTCAGGGGATTGACCCCTTTTCCTTGGATGCACTTGCAAAAGAAGGCATCGTTGCTCTGCGCAGGGCCAAGAGGAGAAACATGGAGAGGTGAGTGGCACCAACTTCACACATGGCACTTCACACTAGGCTTACTCCTTTTGCTCTTCTGCTTGTTTTTGCATTTCTTTTTTTAGTTGCATATATTAGTTGAACAAAATCATTGGTTTCATTATGTGCTTTGATCATTTTTACACATTTTACCCTGTTGCTCTAAATATTTTTGCATATTCTATTGTGGCAAACTAAAAATCTACCTTCTTAAACCTTTTCTGTGTATGAGTTCAGGTTTGTGCATACTACAGCACATAGGTATAATAAGTCCAAGGACAGCTTACATGTCCCCCTAACATGTGGATCCCAGGGAATAAACTCCAGTGGAAGGACTTAATCTTTAGCTTGAGGTCCTATCACAGGCCCTCAGATTTAGCATTTATCTTCACTGTTGGTGATCCTCAGCTTCCCAAGTACATGATTACAGATAAGTATCACTAGTGCCAGCCAGTATTTTAACCTCTTCAAAAGTACAGGGGGCTTAGGCAACATCAGGAGAATAGTGTGTTAAGGTATGATTGTACACAAACCTGTAATGCTGTCACTTGGGGCAAGGAGGCAACATGTCGGCCTGCATACATATCTCAACTGAACATTCAAAATTAAGGACAAGAGAGAAGGAAGGTTCCTAAGAAATATTCCCACACAGAAACCCATCCCTATTCTGGTTTCCTTGTATTGTGATGGCCTTGGCGGGGAGTTTTAAGTGGAGATTTAAAAACTTGATTACCAACTGGTTTATGGTAAATGGCAAGAGCTTTGTTTAGGATACACTACCTCCAGGACAGCCAAGACTGTTACACAGAGAAATCCTGTCCTGGAAAACCTACATAAACTAATATATACATTAAAATGCAGTTTCGTCATGGGGCTGGAGAGGTGGATAACAGCACTGGTTGCTCTTCAGGAGGACCTGGGCTCGGTTCACATCACCCACATGGCTGCTCACAACTGTCTAACTTCTTCATCAGCCAGGCAGTGGTGACTCACACCTTTTACTCCCAGTACTCAGGAGGCAGATGGATCTCTGTGAGTTCCAGCACAGCCAGGACTGTTACACACAGATAGCCTATTTCGGAAAAACAAAACAATACACTTTGATCATGTCATTCTGAAAATCTCCTTCCTAAAGATTGTTGTCTTAATTGAGTATAACCAACATGGCTTACTAAAATTTCACATAATTGCTTCACTGTTACAGGCTGACACTTGCTTGTGGCGGTATAGCTCTGAATTCCTTAGATGACCTGAATCCTGACTGTTTGGGGCATGCAGGTCTTGTCTATGAGTATACATTGGTAAGTGTTTTCTCCTAAAGACAATAGTATTTTCTTTATCAGTGGTTGAGCAGAAAATTTCAAACTCAAAATCAGATTTTATTTTATTTCATTTATTTATTTTTTGGTTTTATGAGACAGGGTTTCTCTGGCTTTGGAGGTTGTCCTGGAACTAGTTCCGGTTTTTTTTTTTTTTTTTTTTTTTTTGGAACAAGTTCTTGTAGACCAGGCTGGTCTTGAACTCACAGAGACCCGCCTGCCTCTGCCTTCTGAATGCTGGGACTAAAGGCTTGTGCCACCAATGCCCTGCTCCTAAACAAGTTTTTGTTTGATTTTTTTTTGAGGCAGGGTTTCTCTGTAGCAGTTCTAGCTATTCTGGGAATCTTTGTCAGCAAAGCTGACCTCAAACTTAGAGGTCCACCTGCCTGTTCCTCCTGAGTGTTGGGATTAAAAGGGTATGCACCACCACCTCCCAGCTTTTCTTAATTTTATGTATTTATTTATTCAATTTGGTTTTTCGAGACAGGGTTTCTCTGTGTAGCTTTGGAGCCTATCCTGGCAGTCGCTCTGGAGACCAGGCTGGCTTGAACTTACAGATCCGCCTGCCTCTACCTTCCGAGTGCTGGGATTAAAGGCGTGCTCCATAAACGCCCGACTAATTTTATGTATTTATTTGAGACAGAGTAATACTATGTTGCCTGGGCTGGCATAGAACTCACTGTATGGCTTTCTGGTTTCTCAAAACAGGGTTTCCTGGCCAGCCTGGTCTACAGAGTGAGTTCCAGGGCAGGCTCCAAAGCTACACAGAGAAACTCTGTCTTGAGAAACAAAAACGAAAAAAGACAGTTTCCCTATGTAACCTTGGCTGTCCCGGAACTTGCTCTGTAGACTAGGCTGGCCTTAACTCAGACATCCTCCTGTCTCGGTCTCTCTAGTATTGGGATTAAAGGCAAATGTCAGCACCACCTTTCTGGATAGGGCTCTTTCACTAAATTTATTCCAGGTTGCTTGTGTGAGGGTTATTTACCACACCCCGGCAATTTGCTAGTGGTTACACCATCTTTAAAAAATTACTTCTCATGCATCTTGGTGGTTTATATGTAATATGAGTTGACTTTAAATTTTTAATTTCTCTTGTGCCTGATTATCCTCCCTTTCAAAAAACCTTGCGGTTTTTTGTTGTTTTAAGATAAGGTTTTACTATACATCCTTGGGTGTGTAAGAACTCATAGAGACCTGTCTGCCTCTGTCTTTCAAGTTCTGGGGTTAAAGGCATGCATCACCGTGCCCCAAGGGTAACTTTTAACAATAATTTCTCTTCTTCCAGGGCGAAGAGAAGTTCACCTTTATTGAGAAATGTAACAATCCCCGTTCTGTCACATTACTGGTTAAAGGACCAAACAAGCACACACTGACTCAAATCAAAGATGCAATAAGAGATGGCTTGAGGGCCGTCAAAAATGCTATCGATGATGGTAAGCAGCATGCTGTGCTTGACTTGTGCTCTTTTTAGTCTTAAAGGCATGGCTGAATACTGTGTTCTTTAGTCAATAATTTACACAGCCAGACACCATGCAAAAGTAAAGTCTTCCTTTAAAATGATTGGTATGCTGTTTTTTTTAATAGTATATCATTATTAAAAGTAAGTACAAATAAATTATTAAAGCTGGTGGCTCTTGAGCTACCAATTAGAATGTTTTGCTCTTGGTTGTGGTTGCTCATATTGTGACTCAAGAGGCAGGTCTGTGCTGGGGTGTTACTGTTGGTAAGGCACCTACTTAGCATATGAGGATAGATGTACCCACATGTCTATCACCCAGTACTGCAAGAATATATAAATGCATATAACTAAATAATATTGTTCTGAAATAATTTTATTCTGTATTTGCTGGGTTGGGTTTTGTTTTGTTTTGTTTCTCTATGACTTCTCCTTCCCTTGTCCACAGGCTGTGTTGTCCCAGGCGCTGGTGCAATAGAAGTGGCAATGGCAGAAGCTCTGATTAAATACAAGCCCAGCGTGAAAGGCAGGGCTCAGCTGGGAGTCCAGGCATTTGCAGATGCCTTGCTCATTATTCCCAAGGTTTGAATATTTACCTTAGTTTTCCTTGCTGACAACCTTTGGGATGCAGTCATTTGTTTATGCTAGTTTCCTGAACTATGCCAAGCTAGGCAGGGTGCCACATGCCTTTAATCCTAGCACCTGTGAGGCAGAGGCAGGCTGGTCTTGGCCAGCTGTGTACATAACATTTCAGGCCAGCCAGCAGTGTTTGTAGCAAGAGATAGTCTGCCTCAGACCTGGGTGGGTAGAATTTAGAACACCCACCCTACCACACCTGGGGTAGGCAAGCTCTAAGTGTCCACAGCTGTACAGAGGAGAATGGAAAAAAGAAAGCCAGCATGGAGGTTGGTCACAAAGTGAAGACTAGCAGCCATATAGCAAGGCAAGAGACAAAGTGGACAGATCAGAACTGCATGGCAGCAGCCCAGTAGGCCATTGCTTGCATGGGTTGTTGAAGGATGAGCTTCTTTTTACTTGAGCAAAACTAATGGCCTTGTCATCATGAGCTACTCAGTAAAGGTGAGGGCTTATGACCAGTACTGGGGGAGTGGGGGTGTCTATTCTCTGGAGAGAACATGAATAATGAATGGTTCTATCTCAGTGCATGCAAACCACTGTCCTGTTTGTTTATTTATTTGGGGCAAGAAGGGGTGTGCTATAGCACATAAGGAGGTCAGAAGCCTGCTTTCAGGGAACTTATTTTTAATTGGAAATACTGTAAGTTTATTTAACATTCAGTTTTCAGTTTGTTTCTTCAAGAATTAAATTTGTTTGCTAGGTTCTTGCACAGAACTCTGGTTTTGACCTTCAGGAAACATTAGTTAAAGTTCAAGCTGAACATTCAGAATCGGGTCAACTTGTCGGTGTGGACTTGAACACAGGTGAGATTGTACTTCTTTGTGGGGGTAGACTAGATTAGATGCAGGAAAACTGGGGAAAGTGAAAATGCCTGGGGGATCTTGCTGTGCCTCCCTGGTTTGGAATCAGTCCTGCCCTTCTAAGTTGATGTTACCCATAACTGTACCAACTAGATATGGAGACTGGGGCATGGGATGGATATTTTAAATGGTGGAGTAAAGCTAGTGGCATGATCGTAACCCTGCTTTTTAGCCCCTATAACACAAATGTACAATATAAAGCAGAAGGCCTACTGTCCATACTCACTAACTTAATTGAAGAGATTGCTGGAATGAGGGAAGTCAACAGGAATGAGTCCATAGCAGAGGGGGGTCTAAATGCTTGCTCAGCAGCTAGTGCTTTGTCATAAAGAGATATGAACCACATGGCCAAGATTCTGGAAAGGAGTGGTGAATAGTCAGTGATAACCAGTACTGTTGCTTCATATTTTAAAGATTTGAAGTTGTCTTTGACTACATAGCAAAATCCTGTCTAAGATAGTCCAAATTGGTCCTTGTTTTCTGTTCTAGAATTGGTGGGGTTTGTTCATAAATAGGATGATTTCTTGAAAAAGGTAAAGGTATTCGATTGGGGCTAGAGAAAGATAGTTAAGAGCAATAGTTGCTTTTCCAGAGGACCTGGGTTCCAGTACTAGCACCCACATGGCAGCTCACAACTGGTGTTACTTCAGTTCCAGGGGCTCTGATACCCTCAGGCATGCGTGCAGTTAAAAGACCAATGCATGTGAAATAAAAATCACTTTTTAAATTAAAAAGAAAGGGGCATCTGATAATTTGTGGTTTCAAGGTGTGGTATTTATTTTTCAGGTGAGCCAATGGTGGCAGCAGAGATGGGTGTGTGGGATAACTACTGTGTCAAGAAGCAGCTGCTTCACTCCTGGTGAGTTTGGAAACTTGAGCCAGCTGTTATTGTTTAGTTGGGCAGGTTGAAATCATGTTAGTGTCTGAGCTGTCTTCTTTTTCCTTCCAGTACTGTGATCGCCACCAACATTCTCCTGGTTGATGAGATCATGAGAGCGGGGATGTCCTCTCTGAAAGGCTGAGGAAGTCCCTTGTCACTGCATCTGTAATAATACAGAATGGTGTGGGAAAATGGTCATTTTTGTCCAAGTGATTTGGAAAAGAATTTCCTCTTTCCGGTTGAAGAAAAGGAACAAGACATTTGGCACCTATTCAAATTACAATACTGTAAAAAAAAAAATTTTCATTCACTGAGTGTATGCATATGCTCAAAAAGTGGGCCCTTTTTAACCCACTGAAAAACATGTTTTAACTACATTGACACAAAAATTACATATTAAGATGAGTGTGTTGTCTACCTTGTTCCTTAAATGTTCTTCAAAAAAATTGTAATGGTTTTTTTTTAACAGCATGGTGGTGCTTGCCTCTAAGCCTAGCACTTTGGAAAAGAGGTTCAGAAGTTCTGCTCCAACTCAGGATACAGGAGACACCCCCCCCCCCACTCAAAAGAATCATTTTCCCCCTCGTGGTTGTATTTTAAATTAGCCAACTAACTCCCTGTTAAACATGTAAGATTCTTGCCAGTGCAGAACACATCTGGGTAATTTATGGTTTTCATAGTGTCTAATAAATACTTAAAAGTATTGATCGTTCACACTTTGAAATAACTGGGGCTGGAGAGATGTCTCAGAGGTGTAGAGCACTGACTGCTCTTCCAGAAGTCCTGAGTTCAATTCTTAGCAACCACATGGTGGCTCACAACGCATCTATAATGAGATCAGGTGCCCTCTTCTGGCCTGCAGGCATAAGTGTAGGCAGATCACTATATACATAATAAATCCTTTTGTAAAAAAATTAATAACTGCTAAAAAAAAAAAAATGCTTCCCTGGAAAAGCTAAGTTGAGGTATTCAGATGGAGGCTGGGGCGGGAGGATCACAATTCTGAAGGCCAACCCCTCCCAGCATGAGGACACAAGAGGTGGGAACATGCAAGTTGACAGCCAAAAGAAAGATGGCTGAATAAGGGCTTGTGAAAAACAATCTCTAGTCGACTTCCAAACCTTAAACTTTATGCTTTTACATCATAACTATCACAATCTTTGTTATCGTTTTCTCACGTAAATACTCTTGGTTTCCGTGTATTTGTTTTATGTGCGTTGGATAATAATGACATCTTCCCCAAGTGGAGTGTTGGGGGGGCTCCTCAGTATTCTACAGTGAGTCAAATAAAAAGTTGAAACCTGTGGTCTTGTGTTACAAGGTTCAACTGAATAAAGAGTGGCATGTGTGGATGGATGGGTGAGTGAGTGGTGGAAGTATTTCCTGTTCATGCAGAAAAGGGAAGTTCAGTTCCCAGCAGCCGCACCGCCCTGCTCCTAACCAGCTGCAGCTCCGGCACTGTGAGCACACACATACTCCTTACATCGCGTATACAAAAATTTTTAGAATAGATAGTTAAATCCGAATGTGACTAAATTGGAGTGTAAGCCAGTGTTTAGGTTCATGGGAGATCCCTACAGGCACTCCCACGGAGTGCCCCCTGTGTCTCCCAACAGCTCTGCCATTGGACAAAATGAGGTTGCTCACCAAGCAAGTGCGCAGGCGCGAGGGAGTCAATCCTGCGACCGGCTCTGAGCAGACGCATGCGTGTTGAGTCCTAGCTCTCCAGCATGGGTTCCTCGCTCCCTGTCTTGTCTCTGATGTGCCTCCTGTCCAGTCCCAGGCTTCAGCTAGGTCAGTGTGCGGCTCTGCCTGTTTCCCCTATCCCTACCCGAAAAAAGGACTGTACCCAGCCTTTCAGATGCTGCCTCCGCCTCGGAGGGTTTTTGCGGGATCTCGGGCCGCTTGCTGGGGCTAGCCACCAAGAGACTGCACACTCTTGTTTTTTTTTTTTTTTTTTTTTTTTTTTTTTTTCTGGTTCATACACTTCGGGTTTTAAAAGCAGGGTTTCTTCTAGTACGCAGCCCTGCCCAGGCCGTTGAGTGCAGCAAGCTGGTTTTCCTGTTCTCTATCCCACTTCCCCGTCTTAAGCCGGTGTACTCATGTGTGATACATAGCTTTTATTTGTAGGAAGTTAGCTTTAAAAGCTCAAGATCACTAAGTCACATACACAAAAATCCGATGCCATTTCTCCCCTTACAACTAACAATACTTTATCATCTGTTTAAGTACACCTTTTATCTCTAGTTTCTTTTGGGATTGAACTTTTTATTTTGTTTTTACGAGACAGGGTTTCCTCTGTGTAATACATCTGACTGCCCTGGAACTCACTCCGTAGACCAGGCTGGCTTCAAACCCACAGAGCTAGGCCTTCCTCTGCCTCACCGGTGCTGGATTAAAGGCGTGAACCACCACCCCCGGCACGGATTGAATTTATTAAGAGATTTGTGTGTGAGTGCTTTGGTCTCTATGTTTGTGCACCATGAGTGTGCCTGATGCCCACGGAGGTCGGAAGAAAGTGGTAGGATTTTGGAACTGAAGAAACACAGAAACCACTGAATGGGTGCTGGGAACTGAAGATGAGGTGTGTGCAACAGCAGCAGGTGCTCTTACATGCTGAGCCATCTCTCTAGCCCCCTATTTTATTTTATCTTTAAGCAGAGTAAACTATGTCGCCTTGTCTGGCCTGGTGCTTGTATATGGAGCAGGCTGACTTGGAATTATAGAGATCCACCTGGGCAAGCACTGTCTAGCATGATCTACAGCTCAAGCCCTTGTTTAGGGGTGTTTGTTTTAAAGGTCTTGGCTCTATAGCCCAAGCTTGACTTGAGCTTGTGATCAACTGCCACAGGTTTCTTAGAGTTGGGATTATAGGCATAAAAAAGTGGCCTTGGGTTTTTTTGTTTGTTCTGAAACAGGTTCTCACTATGTAGCCCTGACTGGCCTGAAAGTCACTATGTAGACAGACCAGGCTGGCCTGAAACTCACAGTTCACTTGCCTCTGCCTCCTATGTGCTGGAATTGAAGTTATATGCCACCATGCCTGGCCTAAAAATGACTTTTTATTTTATTTTTGAAACAGTCTCACTATATAGCCGAGGCTAACCTCAAACTCAAGATCCTCCTACCCTACCTAGCCTCTCAACTGTTAAATGTCTGGGATTACAGGTCAGTCACCCCATATGTCTTTTTTTTTTTTTTGGTTTTGGTTTTTCTAGACAGAGTTTCTCTGTGTAACCCTGAATGTGCTGCTATTCTGTAGAATAGGATTCACCTTGAACTCACAGAGATCTGACTGCCTCTACCCCCACCCCCACCAGGTGCGGGGATTGAAGCTGTGTACCATGTCTTTTTAAAACTTTTTTCAGCCGTACTCAGGAGGCAGAGGCAGGTGGATCTCTGTGAATTCCAGTCTGGCCTGATCTACAGAGCGAGTTCCATGACAGACTACATGGGGTGGGGGGGGGGAGGATATCACAAAGATCTGTCTCCAAACCCCAAGTTCTGGGATTGGAGGTGTACATCACTATAAGTGGACCTAAAGAGGGTGGGTATTTTATTTTTCCTTTATATATGTGCCCAGTGTGCAGATACTAGCAAAGGATGGAAAACTTAGCTTAGTCCCTAAAAATATTTTTAAAATTTTAGTTTGCTTGTTTATATTGTAATTGTTTGATATTTAATTACCTTTTAATTTGATATTTCCCTGCTTATGCATTTTCCCTCTTGGAATTATTCCTGAAATGGGTAGAATCGTGTCAGAATGAGAAGAGAGCTAAATACAGCAACCTGGAAGGCTGGGTATGGTTGCTCATCCCTTTAATCCCAGCTCTTGAAAGGCAAAGGCAAGCAGATCTCTGTGAGTTCCAAGCCAGCCTAGTCTCTGTGAGTTTCAGGCCAGACCAGGGTTGGAAGGAAGGGGGACCCAGTGCCTCCTCGCCTCTGTGGGTACCAGCTATACATGCAGTACACTTATATACATGCAGACAACACTCATAAGATAAAAAGATTTTTTAAAAAGCTGGGCATATTGGTACACACCTAGTCAGGAAGCAGAAACAAATGAAATTCTATGAGTTTAGGGTCAAGCCAGTCTGTGTATTGAGTTTCAGATGAGCCAGGTTTGTAGAGTAAGGCTCTGTCTCAACAACAATAATAAAAAGTTTTTAAAAAAATGTTGAGGTAAGTGAAATTTTATGTACATATATTTGCATGAATTACTCCTATCTGTCCTGTTCTGCAGGAAATGCCCAGGCTCCTACCATGGTGCAGCTGCCAGGTGGGCGATTTTTGATGGGGACAGATGCTCCAGATGGCAGAGATGGTGAAGGACCTGCCCGAGAAGTGACAGTAAAATCCTTTACCATTGATGTATTTCCAGTCACCAATAAAGATTTCAGGTATTGCAAAGGTTTTGTTTTTTTGTTTTTTTGTTTTTGTGAGAGTATGTTGGGGGGTAAAGATTATTTCTGATCTTTTCTAATTCTAATCTTCATTCCTAATATTCCTGTCTCAAAAATAAATAAACCTTGATACAATATATAGCCATAAAATGTTAAATAGAAGCTGGGTGGTGGTGGCTAGATTCACACTACAGAGATGTACACCTTTGATACCAGCATTCAGGAGGCAGAGGCAGGTGGACCTCTGAGATCGAGTTTAGCCTGGTCTACAGAGTGAGTCCCAGGCCAGAAAAAAATGGGAACTCACTGTACAGCAGTGGTTCTCAACCTGTGGGTTACCACCTGTGGTTGAACTTCCCTTTCACAGGGGTCACCTAAAATCATTGGAAAACAGAGATACTTACCTTACAATTCATAACAGTAGCAAAATTACAGTATGAAGTAGCATGAAATAATTTTATGGGTGCTAGAGAGATTGCTCAGCAGTCAGAGCACTGGCTGTTCTTCCAGAGGACCTGGGTTCAATTTCCAGCACCCACATGGCAGCTCACAATTGACTGTAACTCTAGTTCCAGAGGATCTGACACGCTCACACAGATATACATGCAGGCAAAATGCCAATGCATATAAAATAAAAATAAACCATTAAAAATTAAAAAATAACTTTATGATTGGGGGTCACAACATGAGGGACTATATTAAAGGGTTGAAGCATTAGGAAGGTTGAAAACCACTGCTGACCCGGCGGTGGTGGCACACGACTTTAATCCCAGCACTCGGAGGCAGAGGCAGGCGGATCTATGTGAGTTCGAGACCAGCCTGGTCTACAAGTCTACAAGAGCTAGTTCCAGGACAGGTTCCAAAGCCACAGAGAAACCCTGTCTCGAAAAACCAAAAAAAAAAAAAAAAAAAAAAAAAAAAAAAGAAAGAAAGAAAGAAAAGAAAACCACTGCTGTACAGTGAGTTCCCATTTAAAGAAAACAAACAATAAACAATAAAACCCCACAGAACTATGTACTCAAAAGTGGTTAATCTCTTGAAGCTTGTGAAAATTCTTGCAGGACTGGAACACAGGGCTTCCTGGGGCAGAGGATGGTGGGGATGGGGATGGAACCCAGGACACTGAGCCAAGTGAATGCTCTTTTTCCCAGGGAGTTTGTTCGGGAGAAAAAGTACCAGACTGAGGCTGAGACGTTTGGGTGGAGTTTCGTCTTTGAGGATTTTGTCTCCCCTGAGCTTAGAAATCAAGCAAATCAGATGCCGGTGAGAGAGCCTGGATGGGGAGAGGGAGAGGGAGAAGGAGGGGGCCTGGGCAGAGTCATCTGAGGGCTATGTCATGGAGGATCAGACTTGGGACCTGAGTGGAAGCCAGAGAGAATATACACTGCTTGGTTAGGTTAACCCCAGCAGCCAGGGTGATAACCGCCAGGCCTGGTGATGAATGCCTGGAAGCCCAGCTACTTGGGAGGCTGAGGCAAGGTATCAAGATCAATGCCAGCCTGAGCAGTTCAGGAAGACCCTGTCTCAAAGTGGAATCTTTAAAAGGGGGCTAAGTGTAGCTCAGTGGCAGAGGGCTTGCTTACTATCATGTGCAAAGCTGTGGGTTCAGTCCCCAGTACTGGGGGGATAAGGGAGGACAGAGGACAGATGGAAAAAGATATCCTCCTACTTTGGCTTTGGTTTGTTGTTGTTGGGGGGTGGGGGGAGCAGGTGTTTGTTTTAAGACAAAGTCTCATGATGTAGACCCTGGAGCTTGGCCTGGAGCTCATGATGTAGACCAAGTTCGCCTTGAATTCACAGAGATCCTTCTGCCTCTGCCTCCTAAGTGCTGGATTATAGGTATGCACCCCCATGTCCAGCATCTCTCTAGTTTTTGAGACTCACTATGTAGCCCAGTCTTACACTATAACCAAAGGTGATCTGAAACACCGGATCCTCTTGCCTCTGTCTCCTTGCCGCTGAGATTACAGGTGTGCACTATTTTACTGGGTTTATGTGCTGCTGGTGCCGGAAACCAGGACTTCATGCATGCTAGGCAAGCAGTCTGCCAACTGAGCTACATGCCCAATCCCAGAGTATCTTTTTTTAAAGATTTATTTATTTATAATGTATACAGTGTTCTGCCCAGAAAAGGTTACCAGACCTTACTTATTACAGATAGTTGTGAGCCACCATGTGGTTGCTGGGAATTGAACTCAGGTCCTCTGGAAGAGCAGCCAGTTAAGTACTCTTAACCTCTGAACCATCTCTCCAGCTCCCAAACCCCAGAGTATCATTTGAAAAAGATTCCATCCATATCCAGGTGTTGTCGAGTATACATTCAATTCCAGACTAAGGGTCTCTGAGATTGTGGCCAGACTAATCTACATAGTGAGTGCCAGCCAGTTCCAGGCCATCCATGGCTACATAATGAAATCTGTCCCAAAACACCAAAAAAAAGGTCATATCCACAGCCCAGTCTGTGTTCCACCTCTAGTCTGGAAGGGTCCTTTTCTGGGTCAAATTGTCTTGCCCGGCCTCATGTTGTTTTTGTCTTTTCAGTCTGTTCTCTGGTGGCTACCAGTGCAAAAGGCATTTTGGAGGCAGGTGAGTATTGGTTCCTTTGCCTCATTTTCTACTACTTCGGAGCTTCATTCTGGGAATTTCACTTCCCTGAATCCCCTAATCCCTAGGACCACCAGGTATACCAGGGTGCTTTTATGTGTCTTGTTTTCTTTTTTCTTTTTTAAGATTTTATTTATTTATTATATATACAGCATTCGGCTTCCATGTATCTGCACATCTGCACACCAGAAGAAGGCACCAGACCTCATATGGATGGTTGTGAGCCACCATGTGGTTGCTGGGAATTGAACTCAGGACTTCTGGAAGAGCAGTCAGTGCTCCGAGCCATCTCTCCAGTCCCATCTGTCTTGTTTTCGAGACAGGGTCTCACTGTGTAACCCTGACTGGCCTGGAACAGGCTATGTAGATCAGGCTGCCTCGAACTCAGAACCACCTGCCTCTTCCTCTGAGTGCTGGGAGTCAAGTATTTTAGGGACTGACTAGGACATTGCAGAAGTAATCCTGTTCATTCTGCCCTAATGCTTTTCCACGTTTCCTACTGCTCTCTTTACTGAAGAATCTTTTTGTCTCCTTCCTCCCTCCACTCACGGCACCTCCCTCCTCAACCTTCTGAGTGCTGGAATTGACAGGTGTGTGCAACCACTGTTCTTGTCTCTTCTATTTCTCACTCACCCGAGCCATCTTTCCCGACATCTTTCCTCCACCTAGTGTAAAAGCTGAAAGAAGTGACCCCAAGCCAAGGCCTTTTCAGCCTTTCCCAAGATCCCGGATGCTGGTCTCACTTAACCCTGGCTGTCAGCCTGCAGGTCCCGGCTCTGGCATTCGAGAGAAACTGGAGCTTCCGGTGGTACACGTGAGCTGGAACGATGCTAGCGCTTACTGCGCATGGCGGGGGAAGCGGTTGCCCACAGAAGAAGAGTGGGAGTTTGCGGCCCGAGGGGGCTTGAAGGGTATGTGGATGGCAAGGCCACTCTCTTACTCATCTTCCTGCCCCGCCCTACACTGGGGCTTGAAAGGATGGGGAGGGTCTGAGTCCCCTACAGTAGTGATTCTTAACACGGGCCAAGAGGCCAATTGCTGTTCTGCGGTTTCATCTTTGATCCAGTTTAGACCAGTCACCTAAAACATAATATAAAAGAAGTTACAGATGTTTGGGAGCTGCCAGGTGTGTGTCCTGGGAACTGAACTCTCATTCTCTGGAAAAGCAGCAAGCATGCTTATCTGCTCAGCCATCTTGAAGCCCTAAAAAAATATTCTTAGAAAGCTGGGCATAGTGTCACACACCTTAAACCCCCGAACTTGGGAGGCAGAACTCACTCTCTAGAACAGGCTGGACTCAAACTCACAGAGATCCTCCTGCCTATGAATCCTGAGTGCTGGGATTCCTACCTGTTCATGATTGCACTTTTAAGTCCAACTAACAAGTTCCTCATGCCCTCCCGGGTTGTCTGTGTGTACCTCTACCACACTCAGAATTACAGGGCCACAGTGGTGTCCTGCTGTGTAATGTACTTCTGTGTGTTGCTTCCCAGGTTAGGAGAGGACTATGATGTGATGAAAGGAAGTGATGCCAGTCTCCCTTTCTCACCACCTCCTGCCTTCCTTTTGGTTTCCTCACTCATTTTTTTTTCTTCTCAACCCAGATCTTTTTTTTTTTTTTTTTTTTTCCCATCCTGCAGGTCAGGTTTATCCTTGGGGGAACCGGTTTCAGCCAAACCGCACCAATTTGTGGCAGGGAAGACCTGTCTTCCTCCTTCCCCAAGCCTTGATCAAGCCTTGCAGAGGCACTCTTTCAGTCCCTGGTGGGACTCAGTGCTGTCTGGAACACTGTTAAGGCCATGCCTAGCAGGGACAGTTGAGACAAGTTTGTCCTCTCAGGAGCGATGAGTCCCAAGCTCAAGGCCTTCCTGAGCAGCTGACTCAAAATTTAAAAATGTAACACTGGGCAGTGGTGGTGCAAACACCTTTAATCCCAGCACTAAAGAGGAAGAAGCAGGGGGCTGGAGAGATGGCTCAAAGGTTAAGAGCACTGACTGCTCTTCCAGAAGTCCTGAGTTCAATTCCCAACAACCACATGATGGCTCACAACCTTCTGTAATGAGATCTGGTGCCCTCTCCTGGCCTGCAGGGACACATGAAGATAGAACACTGTATACAGAATAAATAAATCTTTAAAAAATATATTTCCAGACATGTAAAAAAAAAAAAAAAAAGAGGTGGAAGCAGGCTGATCTCTGAGTTCCAGACAAGCCTGGTCTACAGAGTAAGTTTTGGGACAGCCAGGGCTGCACAGAGAAACCCTGTCTTGAAAAGAACAATAACAACAAAAAACTTCTAGGGCTGGAGAGATGGCTCAGAGGTTAAGAGCACTGACTGCTCTTCCAGAGGTCCTAAGTTCAATTCCCAGCAACCACATGGTGGCTCACAGCCACTTTTTTATGAGGTCTGGTGCCCTCTTCTGATGTGCAGATATACATGGAAGCAGAATGTTGTGTACATGATAAATAAATAAAATCTAAAAAAAAAATTCTAAATGAAAATACAGTCACAAGATCCTGTCTCAATAAAATAAAACAAAATAAAAAAGTAAAAATATGATATATGGGTGTGAGCATGCTAGGTCAGAGGACAACTTATATGAGTTGATTCTCTCCTTCCATGTCTGACAGGGGATCAAACTCAGGTCTTCAGCCTTGACATCAAATGCCTTCATCTCACAGATGTCCTTACAACATTGTTAAATGTCATGGACTGTCTCTTGTGGAGACCATCGACCGAGGGGAACAAGGGAGAAGGCTTAAGGAGAAATTAGGAATCGGCGAGGAAATGACAGATAGACATATTCAATGTAGTTGAATATGTTGTTGTAATTTTATTTTATCTTAAGTAATGTTTATATATTGTTATAATTAGGGAACTTGGCAAGGGGGATTAGGGAATTTGGCAAGGGGGCTATATCATTAGATTATATAATAGAAAGAAAAAGAATAGTAAAATTGTTTATAGATGATCTATTTTTAGTTTTAGATTGTGGTTATTGTCTAAAGATATGATCTAAGAGTTTTTTAAAATTTGTCTTATATCATTAATTATGTTTTTTATCTATTTTTTGATTTTTTGGCCCTAGATATCTTTAGACCTTAGAGTCTAAGTCTCTTGTAAAATAAGTCTTATAAAGTTTTTTTATATTATGAAGTTTATTAAACCCTTTTTATAAAGTTATTTAGTATTTTAATGTTGGCTTTATGTTTTTTAATATTTTTTTTATTTTATTTATATTAGGGTTTTTTAGATCTAGTTATTTTTTTTAAGAAAGGTAAGTTTTTTTAAAGTTGTCTTTTTTTTATGATTTATCTATTTTATTTTTTAAATTGGCCATTTTAGTAAAGGCTTTGATAAACGGTGGGACAGAGTTTAGTATGTCCTTAGATGTTTCTTTAACATTAGTGTAGTTTGTTGGTAAGACATAAGAAATACATAGAACAGAAGACAAGGAAGAAGAGGCTATAGTGGCACCAATGACAGCTGCTTTGAGTTGACTCATCGGGTATCATGATCATTAGGGAACCGCCTGGGGCTCATCTCTGGGGAGCATAGACCCCAACCCAGTGGCCTTAACCCGCCTTAGTGGCATCTTTTGTTACATAGGTGTGACCGCCGTGGGCGTAGTAGTTTTTTGTTTTTTATTTTTAAATTGTAATTTAAAGACTTTTTGTTGTATTTTGGCCACAGAGTTGAAAAGACATTTTAAGAGACATGGAAATAAGAATACAACCAAAAGGACCAGTAGTAAAACTATGTCAATGAAAGTAAAATATTGTATTCAATCCAATGGATTGAGAGCTTTTATTTCTTGTTGTATTTCTGTGGCCAAATCTTGTAATCTTCTAAGCTGTAGATGTGTCTGACTTATAGTAGATATATCTCTTTGTAGGGTTTTTAAATTATGTGTAATATCTCTATCTAGCCAGATTTTTTGTAAATGAGCTTTTATCTTATCTCATGACTGAGATTGATTATAAGGTAGAGGTGTCATGTAGATTGATCTAAATCTATTATGACAACGCGTGGAGAGGGTGGTTTTTAAATTTGAGATATCCTGTCTAAGGGTAAGGACAACCTCTTTTAATATATTTATTTTTGTTTTTAGCTTAGTATCAATAGTTGTTTGTTCTATCAAAGTAGAAGTTATATTTTGATTTAATGTATATATATGATGAGCTGTATGAATTTTTTATATTAAAGACGTGGTAGCCATAGCGAAAGTAGTGAGTATCGAAATTAATGTTGTGATACCCAAGATAAATATAGTTATAAACCTTTGTGGTCGAACCAAGTCCTTTAAAGTATCTAGTACCTGTAGTGTTGAGTTATCATATTAAGGATCATCTTTTAGATCTATTGGTAGTATAATAAATAGAGGCCTGTGTACAATAAGCATGGTACCCAAATTTTTAGATTTTGTTGAAGTAATACAATTTGTCAATTTACAAGAATGACAAGTAAGTTGATATGAATTTCTAATCAAAGAAATATTAACAAAGGAGATTGAGCCAACAATAGAGTATTAGGATAAGAAACATAAGCACGTAACCCAATGGCATCCGGTAGAGTATGATTAGGTCTTTTTTTTAAAAACATGTTAGCGGCAGCAACAAGTCTAAACAAATCTGTATGTTTTTTGGTTGTATTTTCTTTAACTGTAAACCATGTAGGCTCTATAAGCCCAGGAGAGAACCATTGCCTAAGAGGCTTATTTTTTCTTATATATTTATAATTATGAAACTTTTATTTATGGGATTTTAAGTAATTTTTATAAACATTATTTTGTTTATTAGAATTAGAATAATTTTATATTTGTAGATTAGAATTTTTAGGTTGATATCATGTGGCTGTATTAGGAAACCCATAGGTTAACCAAGTAGGAAATTTAGTCAAAGAAGATTCCCAGAAGTGATCCTTATCATGATATTTTAGGATATAAGGATCTATTGGTATCTCAGAAACTTTAATAAAATTCTCTTTATATAAGGGATCTCTAAGAGTCTTGAATTGTGTTTTTTAGACCCAGTGTTTACCAGTATTTTCCTTGTTAGGACCATTAGTTAAGAAAGTACGATACCCTGTGTTTAGGCAGCCTTTTGGCACTTTTTTTTGTAGTGTGATACAAATTGGCAGCGAGTCTGTTTTGTCCTTAAAGGTTATTAAGGAGGACGAGCTGGCTCTCGTGTTAGAGTTTTGAGTATCACCCATCCTGACAGTATCATTGGTTAGAACTCTAATGGGCTCCTGATTTAGCCAACCCACAGGCTGTAAGATCTGAGGATTGGGGATGTAAGCCCAATAGGCCATATCCTCTATGCTGGGGGGAGTAGAAATTAAAGTTAAAATGGCAAGAAAGTTTATGTTAGTTGTTAGGGGTTTTTCTTGTTGTTTTAGCAAGGTTTTTGTTTTTTTTATTAGGTGTTTGATCTTTATTTAAGTGATTTTTTTTGTCTGTGAAGACAGTAGTTTTATTTTTTTTATCTGAGTCACCAGTTGTTTTTGTTGTTTTTGTCATTTTTTCTTTTTGTGTTGCTTGTCCCTTTGTGGGCCGGACGAGCCTATCTGGGATCCAGATGGGGGAGTCGGCATCCTGTGGAAATATACAAGCATACCCTCGTCTCGATGTTATTAGGATGTTCGGTCCTTTTTAAAGACCAGAAAGAAGATCTTTTTACATAACTTTTGGAAGGGCGGAATTAAATTTATGTGCCCAATGTACCATAGTAGGTGTGACATTCTTCTTATTTGTATTTAAATGATTTAAAACAAATAAGGTGTGAGACAAAATATGATGAGGAGTAAAATATTTATTGGCCTTTTGTAAGTGTTTAATTTGTGTTTTTAAGACCTGATGAGTTCTTTCTATAATAGCTTGTCCTTGTGGATTATAAGGGATTTTTGTAGTGTGGACTATATGTCATTGAGCACAAAATGATTTAAAAGCTTTGGAGGTATATGTCGGACCATTGTCTGTTTTAATTTGAGACGGCATACCCATCATTTGAAAACAATGAGTTAGATGTTGTATCATATCCTTTATAGCTTCTTTTGTCCGAGTAGTGGCTGTTATTAGATGAGAAAAGGTATCTACAGTTATATGAACATAACACAGTCGCCCAAATGAGGGGACATGTGTCACATCTATTTGCCATAATATATTTGGTTTTAAGCCTCTAGGGTTGACCCCCATTTTTAAAGTGTAGTGAGTAGGTGGGCATTGGGCACATTGTTTTATTATCTGTCTTGTTTGTTTTTTGGTTATTTGAAACATTTTTTTTAGGGCTAATGTATTTTGATGATGAACAGCATGACTTTCTTGGGCTTTTTGCATATTAAATGTTTCTTTTTGAGTATAAAAATCTGCCATGGCATTACCATGTGCCAAAGGTCTAGGCAGATTACTATGTCCTCTTATGTGTCCTATATAGAACTTTTGAGTTCTTTGTTAAATGTATTGTTGTAATTCTTGTAAAAGAGGTAAAATAGGGGATTTTTTTGATAAAAGAGCAGTCTCTAAAGCTGGAAATAAAGTTACAACATATTTTGAATCTGAATATAGATTAAAAGGTTGAGGAAAATTTTTAAAGGCCAAAATTACTGCTCTAATTTCTGCTTGTTGAGCAGAAGTCTTACTTTTTGAATCTACATAAATTTTGTCCTCATGTGTGAAAACCGTAGCCCTTCCTGAGG